GATCATTTCCGGTCCGGGATCATTTGCGGTCCAATTTGGGGATCATTTGCGGTCCGGGATCATTTGCGGTCCTGGGATCATTTGCGGACCCGTAGAGTTTCGCAATGCGCTCAAAGCGGAGAGATAATTTTTCTGTAGCTCGGTTTTTCTTGAAGCTGGTCTGGCAAAATATGGTAGACGAAATAGGATACGAACGCTAGAGTGGCTGGGTGAAGAAAACAAACAAAAGAAAGCGCGGCGGAGTAAATGTACATGGATAATATTCCAATGGATCTCAATGAGTCCGACGATTCATCGGTATCGGACTCAACAGAAGAGTCAATGCAAAAATCGCTGTTATCGCTGTCAAGTTCCCAAATTTATACAGAACCTTTCACTTCTCTTGACTCGATCTTTTTGCCCGCTTGATACGATCGCCATAGCTTCATCCGCGAGGCCAATTTTCGCTTCTTCACCCCGAGATGCATGTTGCCTCCCACTGCCAGGCTTTTTCCATATTATTTCATAAAAGCGATAGACCACTCTTTCTATGGGTTTACTGGCGAAGTAAACCATTTGTGATGTTGGGAGAATATTTGAAAAGCCTGTAAATCACTCGCCTAACAGCTCGTGATTTACAAGCTTTTCTCGTGTTCTCCCAACATCCCGCGTGGCTTATTGCACTGGTAAACCATAGAAAGAGTGGTCTATTGCTTAAATATATAACAAAAGAAAACTTGCGGAGGAAAAAAAAAAAAGAATTCGCAATAGCTAAATTACGCACACAACAATTATAACATTATATATGTATGTAACAAACAAAACCTTGCGGGGAGAAAAAGAAGCATACGAAATCAAAATCGTTTTAATTTTATTAGGCTATTTAGTAGTAGTCTTATTATTGTGTAGAAACAAGTTTACCTTACCTTAATCTGTACCTTTAGCTTTGACCAATTATATGATTTACAGAGAAAAGAATATACGCAGAAGTGGCGGGGGATAAAAGCAAATTCATAAATAAAATTGATGCGTGGTAGTTCTCCGTTATGTTTCAACGTCGATTTTTTTCCGAACCATTTCTTTACGATTCATATTTGTTTTAAATGGTTAGAAAAGCATAATAAAACTAAAGCCTGAAAATGAAACGCGTACTGCAAAGACTAGAAACAATTGCTGTTACTTGTCGCTTGCTATCTGTAAGAAATTTCATAGTAGGGAAATTTTCGTCATAGTTTGACTTGTCCCACAAACTTATTAGAGCATGGGTTGAAATTATGGAATTTCTCTTTGAGTGTTCAACTTTATATTTCACGCGTTCACTGCGCTCACCCGTGAGACATCTAGTTGAACACTCAAAGGGAAATTCCGTATCTACGCGTGCCATGTATGCATCAGTCTCTATGTAATTAATTTCTTTCTTAACAGGCGATCGCTTGAGATAGCATGACTCAAAAATAGAAAAATCGCACTTGGTGCATTTTTCTTTGAATTTTGTTGTTTACTAATTTTTTCCCAATGATGAATTGTCCCAAAACTCGAGAAATTCCATTGACAACTGAACAGGTTAGCTTCGATGAGGGACGCTGTGTTTCAAAGGCGATGTTGTACCAAGTTGCTAATCAATGCGGTAAGGACGTTCTGGTATAATTTGTATTAAGGCTTCGTCGATGATTTTAATTGTATTTGCGAGTTCATCTTCTTAGTCTTGTTTAGAAAGATAAATAACTGCAGATGCACACTAAGGGAAAACATATCGATGACATTAACACCTGCCTTCTTAACTAACGTCAGTAATGGCACGAAAACGTGACGGTTTAAAACTACTTCTGCAAAATAGAGGAGGCATCTTGCCAAAACCCTAATGGAAATCTTGAGATCCACATTCAACCAACAGAGGATGAAGAGGACAGTAAAAACCCGTATGTAAAATGAAAAATCCTAATTTCAAACGATTACTTTTGAATAATCTACAGAGGGTAAACGAGGATGTTCGCCTCCATTTATGTTTTAAGAATGACTGCGTTCACGCCTGTTTAAAATATATAATCATTTTTTCCCCGAGAGTTCAACCCTTGTATGCACCAGTGATATATCGGGGTTTAACACTGAGGAAGTCTTCAACCCTAAAATTAGCTTGTTTTAAATTAGTGGCACTTTAAGTTCAGCCTTGCTGTATCACCAAATCGATCCTTAACTGACGGCTAATTGAGAGTGCACATTAATGAATGAACATTAACACGGACATATGCAAACCACTAAACAGGTTAAAAGTGAGTCTTATAACATCAGGGGTTGTTTCAGGTGATAATTAATTAAAAGCAAAATAAATATTTCATCACATACAGCTGCTTTATCTCCTTCGTTTATTCTTAACTTTCTGCATATAAAGTTGATAAAAGGTTAGAAAGCATTGGACACATTTTATCGCGCGTTCAAAATTTTACTACAGATTTTTCGATTCCGCAAATGAAATTTGAATTTATAACGTGTAACCCAGTAACAAAAAATCACCAGCTCTCTTTGCGGTAAATATTTCTGATGGGCAATTGTTAAATGATGTCTCTTGTGTAAATAATCCCAAAGCATTTAGATAAAATACAGACGTCATAGCAAATGTTTTCTAGCATTTTCGCATCACAAGGGAAATAGTGATGAATTTTAAATAGTCGGTGTTAACACAATATAGAAACTTTGAACTCGATAATGATATTTTTTAAAATATTGTCCAAACAGAAAAATGGATCTTTGCTTTTTATAATATATTTTCATGCTTTCCGTACTCTATGAAGAACGATATAAATGGAAAAAAAGAGTTATTTCAACGGCGTCGACAAAACCAGAATCGGACCAGACCGGATCACGGACCGGACCGGACCACGGATCGGATCGCGGATCGGATCACGGACCAGATCACAGAAAAAAAATATTAAAAAATGAAAAAATTCAAATTCAAGATTCAAAATTTTGCTGAGCAAATTACGCTAGAGTGACTACTGTTGTGACATGTTGCGTGACATGCCCTTCTTTGTCAAACCCGTATTTAGAGATTCTCGGATGTGCGAAAAGTGTGATCTTCCCGCCATTAAAAGATGTCTCCCGCCATTAAGAGGTCTCTCCTTTCTTATGTCTGTTAAGTGCTCTCTGGCATATTGATACATGGTGGCAGCGGTTGTGGCTGTTATTTTCTTTACTATTCTTGCGATGAGCGACGGAGAATCTGCAGAAACTCCCGTGGTTTTTGTTCACAAGCTTCACAAGTTACACCTTCGAGCCAAACTGCGATGAATAGTCCGCCATTACCTGAGGTAAAACCACCCCCTACTCTGAACCTAGCGGACTGTTCGGCCAAAAAGTGGAAGTTGTGGAAACAGGCCTAGCTTAATTAATTTCGTTATCGTTTCCAAGATATCAACTCAGGACGACTCATATAAGAAAGCTCTCTTCCTTTGCACGATCGGCCAAGGCGCCTTAGAAATCTACAACGCTTTCCGATACAGCACGAGTGAGAAACCTGAGAAGGTGGACACCATCATTGCGAAATTCGACGATTATTTCATGGGAGATGTTAATGAAACTTACGAGCGTTTAAATTTTAATCAAAGGAACCAGGAAGCTTAGAAGTATGTGAGAAAAAGGACAAAGCGCATTTGGTAGGTCATGACTCTGAACTTTCTGAATCTGATTCTGATGTGGCCGTTGTTAAGACGCTTAATGTTCTTGTCAATGGTGTCTGCTCCAAGAAAAAACAAGCCAATTTGTTGTGAGATGCGTGTTAATTCTAAACCCATCAAACTGCAAGTAGACTGTGGTGCCACTGTATGCATAATCCCCAAGAGCCTTATTGGTAAAAGCCAGATTAAGTGTTGCAATGTTTCCCTGGAAATGTGGAACAAAGTGAAAATGAAAGGCACCTGTAAACTTCTTGTTGAAAACTTAAGACTCTCTTGAAGTACATGGTAAAATTTGTTGTCGAAGAAGAGGATCTAACTCCTCTCTTGAGTCGCAAGGCAGCTGAGAAAATGGAACTCATTACAGTCAACTATGAGAGGTTCGACAGTGTGAATGGAGTAATGAACTCATCAGATATTTTAAGGCGCTATCCAGACGTTTTCAATGGTGATGTTGGCACTTTACCTGGATCTACGCGACTAACACTGAAACCTGATGCAGAGCCAATTCTTCGTCTTCCAAAACGACTACCGATTGAGTTGAAGGATTCTGTAAAACAGGAACTTGACAGACTTGTTAAAGCAGGAGTTCTCGCCCCAGTAGACGAACACACTGACCTCTTGTGATTCTCTGTAATTGACATGTCATTACTTGCGTCAAATTCGGGATTCTTGGCGGCAATGCATGCAGCACGTAGGTGGCAATGTGTGGGCCCGAAATGAACTTGTAGTTTTTCGTCCTTCATAAATGACTTATACTCATTAGTAGACTCAAATATATCATTTGGCGGATCAGGAATTTCGCCTGGGACTCAAATGGTCCAGTCGCAGCCGTAGCACTTAAAGCCCTTAGTGTCCTATAGCCATTTAAGTTTATACTTGTGGGTTGCGGAGCTCTTCGACTCTTCTTTCAACGGGACCTGCGCTCCATTATGTCACGCAGACTTTATTTTGGCTTGTCACACAACACTTCTTATTTTCATTTAACATATTTTATTTTCCCTTTGATTTTTTATTTATTATTATCTTATAAGCGATTCGATTTTTTGTTTTCTTGATTTTTTTTTTTAACTTTCCTTTTATGTGATCCGATCCGTGATCTGATCCACGATCCGATCCGTGATCCGGTCCGTGATCCGATCCGTGATCCGGTCCGGTCCGGTCCGATCCTGGTTTTGTCGACGCCGTTATTTCAACTCGCTAAGTATGACTGAAGCTTTCTTCTGTTTTATGTAATTTCTCCATGCACTTATCCGTGTTATTTTTCAACCATTACAGGACTACAGTGCACTACATAGGTATAACTGGGTCAAAGTCAGCAAAAATTATGGCTTCACAGTGCGTCTATATCATTGCTGTATTTCTGCTTTGCCAAAAAGCGTTCGTTGACTCAGCTGTTGAGGAAGGTAGCGGTGAAGCTGAATATTCCATCTCGGGAATGATGCTACGGCGACACATCTACAAGAAGATCACGGGAGCACCACTCGGTAATGTATGCTTGCAGGAATGTTATCGCGACGTTAGATGCCAGAGTTTTAATTACGTCATTTCCAAAGAAACGTGTGAATTGAACAACCGTACCAAGGAAGCCAGACCTGAAGACTTCGTTCCCAACTCTGACAGATATTATTTCAAACGAGACAAGGATAGAGGTAAATTAATGTGTTAGAAACATTAAATTCATCGATCACTTTCATTTTATTTAAAGTTTATTTTTTAATGATGGGCATAATGTGATTTAATTGTTTTCCTATGAAATACTGGGTGGCCAGAATTTCTAAGTGACCAAATATTGCTTTTGGGGAAAACCTCCCTCAGTCGAAAACCAAGGAAACTATTGTAATTTTCGTAAAATATTCATAATTTTTTTTGTTTCGTCAGCAATGCATTGATTTCTACTAAAAAAATGATCTGAAGGATGACCTTTTCTTGAAATCAACTTTGTTACTATTTAACAGTTCGCCTCGGTTCTATCCCGGATCTGCCTGCAATATCTTGCAAAGAAATCAAGGCAAGTGAGGGACAATGGGCTGATAACGGCAACTACTGGCTTCTTTTCCTTGAGATTGAGAAAATTTTACTTGCCTACTGTGACATGAAGACAGAGGGTAAGTACCATTAATAAAAATAAGATATGATAATCCAAAACCGATTTGATTCAATGACAAGACAAGATAAGACAACGCGAGGCGAGGCGAGGCAAGGAAAGGCTATACACGAAACGACACGAAACGACACGAAACGACAAGACACGACACAACGCGGCAAGAGTTTTAAGGCAGGACAAGGCAAGACAGAAAAGGACATGACAGAATGTGAAGGACAGAATAGGACAAACGGGATAGGAAAGTGTAGGACTGCAGAAGAGAGAACAGGTACATAGCTCTTAGGACAGGAGAAAAAAGGACAGAAAAGGACAGAACAGGTCAGGAGTGGACAGGTCAGGAGTGGACAGGACAGGAGGAGACAAACCACACCAAATCAAGGCAATCGAACTTAGACCAAATAACAACAAAGACAAAAAAACAAACAAAGCAAAACAGAACGAAACAAACAAACCAAACAGAAGAAAACGTCTTTTTTGTAGTATACAATAATCACTTTTTGTTGTTGTTGCTGTGTTTTAGACGCTGATGAATGTAGCTCTTCGGAATCCTTCTGTGACGTAAATGCCGACTGTAAGAATACACGGGGTTCCTATCGCTGTTTGTGTAAACATGGATTTACTGGAAACGGAAAAACTTGCAGTGGTATAATGATATATGTGCTCAGTAACATTTTTATGATACTTGTCTCAAAAATAAATAAACCCATACCTTTGTTACACAAATGCAATGGCAACAATCCGATTGGCTGAACTATCGTGCACTATTAGCTATTATTATGTAGTGGT